AGAGGACGCATTGTGAAAACTGACTCAGGCCACCTCTCAACAGCCCTGTGAGAAAAGGTGTGGTGGTTTTGGAGAGTGTGAAGTGTGTGGTGTATGTGGAGTGTGGGGGGTGTGGTAGGTACAGCAAAGTGGTAGTGATGTGCATGGTATGTGGTTAGTGTGGTGGGAGTGGTAGAGTGGTGTGGGTCATGTGTGTGGGGTGTGGTGGGTGTGATGTACATGGTGTTCAGTGTGTGTGATGGGTGTGGTGGGTGTGGTGAGTGGTGGGTGTGATGCACGTGGTGTGCGGTGGGTGTGGTGGGTGGTGGGTGTGATGCACGTGGTGTGCGGTGGGTGTGGTGGGTGGTGGGTGTGATGCACGTGGTGTGCGGTGGGTGTGGTGGGTGGTGGGTGTGATGCACGTGGTGTGCGGTGGGTGTGGTGGGTGGTGGGTGTGATGCACGTGGTGTGCGGTGGGTGTGGTGGGTGGTGGGTGTGATGCACGTGGTGTGCGGTGGGTGTGGTGGGTGGTGGGTGTGATGCACGTGGTGTGCGGTGGGTGTGGTGGGTGGTGGGTGTGATGCACGTGGTGTGCGGTGGGTGTGGTGGGTGGTGGGTGTGATGCACGTGGTGTGCGGTGGGTGTGGTGGGTGGTGGGTGTGATGCACGTGGTGTGCGGTGGGTGTGGTGGGTGGTGGGTGTGATGCACGTGGTGTGCGGTGGGTGTGGTGGGTGGTGGGTGTGATGCACATGGTGTGTGGTGGGTGTGGTGGGTGTGGTGGATGTGATGAGCGGTGTGTGTGGGATGTGTGATGTGATTACTAGGGACTAGCGTATGTATGGTGTGTGGTGAGTGGGGGTGTGTGTGTATGTGTGTGTGTAAGGGGTACAATAGCAGTTCTGGCTGAGAATCGCTAGTTGCACCAAAGGGTTCAGATAATAGTTTCCAAGTCAAAAGCGGGCTGGGCAGGGGAGATGCCCCTCCCTCATCTCCCTGTCCCCCTGCTGCACCCGAGAGGCACACCGCAGGCCTCCGGACGTCGGACTGATGGGACAGCCTATGAAGACGCTCTCCAGGCCCCCAGGTGGTGGGCCGAGGTCCCCAAATCCTCCTCCTCCCCGCCCCGCCCAGGGCCCTTCCCTACCCCGGACCCTGTCCTTCCTGCCTGACCGCCCCCGACAGCAGGATCAAGCCTCAGTGTGTTTGGCCAACTGCTGCCCACTCACAGCCCCGCAGGCAGATTTTGTTTGGCTGACACCAAGACCTAATGTTTGCTTACTTTAGTAGCGACATTTTAAAGTTAGGAGATTTTATATAAAAAGCTGGATTTGGGGTTTATCTTGAAAAACCAGACGATCAAGCTTCCTAGACCACGTTTAGCGTGATGAGCAGGACGCGGGGCCCAGCCGGGGGAAATCCGCCTCCGGTGGCAGCGGGCAGACCCTGCAGGGTGGGCCCCTCATGGTGGGTCTCTCTATACGTGTCAGCATCTGCTGACGTCCAGGCTTTTCTCCTCTGCCCGCTGTCTCCACTCCTCAGCCGGGGGAAGCATGAACACAGGGGGCAGTTGGGGGAAAACCTCAGGATGCTTCACTCGGACCGGGGACTTGGAATCCGAGAATTGTCTGCTATTCCGCTCAGCACTACCTGATCTCATTTTGAAGACGAACATACTGCCCGCAAGTTATTTGTATCCCTGGCCCCTGCTACAGAAAACTTTGACCCCAACAGTCCTGACCTCCCGAAACTAAGAGTATTTGCTGCCTCCTCTTGTTACCTGGTTTGCATTAGACGTTTTCTTCTTTCTGATTACTGACAGGGCTTCCCTGGTGGTTCCGTGGGTAAAGAGTCTACCTGCAGCACGGGAGAGCTGTGTTCGATCCCTGGCTTGGGAAGATGCCCTGGAGAAGGAAATGGCAGCCGACTCCAGTATTCTTGCCTGGAGAATCCCATGGACAGAGGAGCCTGATGGGCTGCAGTCCACAGGCTTGCAAAGAGTCGGACACGACTGAGCGACTCTCACTCACGGACAGTGAGAAGAGCTTTTCCCTGGCCTTTGGGAGGACGAGGGGATGGGAAGGGAGGAGACGGGCCACGTCAGTTGATTTTCTGTCTTTTTGGATTTCCATCTCATCAAAGGGACTAAATTATCCAGGGACAGAGAGAAGCTTTAAGAGTTAGGAGGTGTGAGTTCGAGAGATGAATTTGTTAGCTACGTGATCACAGACAAGCCACTTTGCCTCTTGAGATAAAAAGAGTCACGCTAAATAATCTATGAGCTCCGTGCCATCTAAGGCATTGATTCTTTCGGTCAGATACACAAAGGCACCTCCATGCTGTGGTCCCTCTTTTGTTCAAGTGTTTATTTCACATTTTTAAATGTATGTTGCTAGTTTGTTTGCTTGTGACAAGATCTCTCTGGTACTCCCCAAGGATCACAGAGCACCCCCACCTTCCTGTTTTGCAGTTCTTAAAAGTCTTATTTTTATATCTGACAAGGGGTTAATATATAGTATATATTAAAAAGCCCTACAGCCCAACAACAACAAAAAGACAAATAATCCAATCTTAAAAGGGACAAAGGACATGAATACACATTTCTCCAGACAAGATAGACAAGTGGCCAGTGAGTATATGAAAGGATACTTCATATATTGATTCGTCACGAATCATCAAGGAAAAGCAAATCAAAACCACAATACACTACCTTATATCCATTAGGATGGCTATTATAAAAAAAATAATAATAACACATGTTGATAAAGGCGTAGAGAAAATAGAGCCCCCGTGCAGTGGTGACGAGAATGTAAAATGGGGCAGCTGGTATGGAAAAGAGCATGGTGGCTCCTCAAAAAAAAATTCAAAATTTATTGCTTCATGGGTGCAGAGTTTAGTTTTGCAAGATGAAGCATTTTGGGGATGGATGGTGGGAAAAGGTTGCACATCAGTGGGAATGTTAATTAATTAATTAATGTTAATTAATGTTAGTTAATTCCACTGAACTGTACACTTAAGAATGGTTTAGAAGGTGCCCTTTGTTATGTGTATTCACCACAATTAAAACTTTTAAACAATGACATGAAATAGTGATTTGGCTTAATAGTTTAAAAAAAGGTATCAAGAAACAAGTAACTCTGTGAAGATAGAAAAAACAGAGGCAATCTAATCACATGACATGATGAGAGTTAAAAGACTTTAAAACAGAATAACCTGTGCCTGGGGTCCCAGAGCAGGCCTTAAGCCCCGGGATGAGATAGACACGGAAGAATTAGCACATGGTAATGAGTCAGGCTGTACCGGGACCCTTTGTTCTGTGCACGCCCCCGCACTCAGCAGTGCCAAAGAGGTGGGCAGACCACTTAAGCCACCCCTCTGGTCGGACCCCTGGACCCCGGTGGCTGCCCTGCGTGCCTCCAGAAGCAAGCAAGGGCACATGATACTTGTTTTTGCTCCCTCCTAGGCCACAGAAACCTCAATAAAGCCTTGCCTGAATTTCTTGTCTGGCCTCTTATCAATTTCCATTGATTAAGAGAAGGTCAAGAACTCTAGTGGATATCAGAAATAGAAGCTGTAGTGTATCAACACAACAGAGGTTATACAATCACAAAAATTATACTTCAAGACTGCACACCATCAAGGAGAAAGGCTGCTGACATGATGTTGAGAAAATAGCAAAATATAAAACCGAAAGGTAAGATGTCCAATTACGTGTGCCTTTTAGACAGGGACTCCAATGGAAAAGGCAAAATGAAATCAGTTCCTGTGTCAGGGTAGTTTGTTTTTTCTACTTTAAAACGCATCTTTAAAATTGTTATGATAAGTGTATACAAAAAAATAAGATGATAAGTGAGAGTAGAATAAAATAGAATATCCAAGGTTCTCCCACTCAGAAAAAGGAAATACTCCGAAAGATACAAGATCACCATTCCTTCGAGAAGAAACACTTTTATTTTTCAGTCTCAGCTACGCAGAAACAAGTGGAAACGGCTAAGGAGAAGAGATACCGTTTGGACCCACGGCAAAGGCTGCTCCAGGTCTGCCGGCCAGAGCTCACCCTGCTGTCTGCGCTGCGGTGACATTCCCCACGTGACACCTGGCCCCGGAGATCTCCGTGTTTACGGCTTTTCCTAAAAAGCTCTAAGTGTGTGGACAGAGCCTATTTCCAAGTCCACGGCATGCCTCCCACAGTGCTGGTCACTGCTGAAGTCTCTTGCCAGATGAATCTAATTACATACAGAGCAAGGGTCGGGGGGAGGGAAGGACTGGGAGTTTGGGATTAGCCAATGGAGTATACATGGAATGGGTAAACAAGGTCCTACTGTACGTCACAGGGAACTATATTCATATCCTACGATAAACCATAATGGAGAAGAATCTGCAAAAGAACAGATACGTGTGTGTGCGCATGTATATACAACTGAGTCGCTTTGTTGTGTAGCAGAAACTCACACGACATTAAAAATCAACTATACTTCAATAAGATTTTTTTCAGAGGGTAGACCGACTACCTGCTGTTCCTTTTTACCAATTACTGCGTTAAATACTGCCGCAGTGTGGGCTCCACGTCACAGAGACAAGCGTGGGAAAGCAAGCATACACAAGGTCACGGGTGCTGCGGGTGTCGGCAAGTCCAAGGTCCAAAGTCGCATGTCTGGCAGGTGTCATTATACCGAGAAGTATATAAACTGGGGAAGCAGAACACCTCTTAGCGTGACTCGACTTTGATTCCGTGTCTCACTGGACTGTGGGTTGCTCACGTCCCCAGAAGTCAAACATGTACAGACGAGAGAAGCCTGAGGGGGCTGCCACCTCTGAGCTCCAGTATCAGGTCCCAGACCCTGGGGTCTTAAAGTACCCCTCTGCACCCCCAAAGGAGGGCCATCCAGGCTTGTCGTTGGCAGTAAGGCCCTCTTTTTCTCTCTAGATGTGGACCTGGTGGGGAGTTTTCTATCCATTTCCTGGTGATGGGGGAATAAACACAGCGTCTGTTCGTTTCTGAAGATGAAGGGAAAATCCATCCTTACAAATGCCCTGTGTTCCCCAGGAGCGGCTGGAGAAACAGCCCTGCAGTTCCAAACACACAGACAATGATGAACACCCACAGGAACACCCTGTCCACCACCATGGCCACGTATTTCCAGTCGTCCTCTACCTGAAAGACAAAATGTCAAGCACCTGTAAAAACTGAAGACCATGGGAGATAAGCTCTGTTTCATAAATAAGCTGCCTCCTTTGCACAGAAGTTTCGTTGACAACTTTTGAAGCAAGTATCCCTACGATTCTGGTTAACCCGTGTCTCCACCATAGTGTACACAGCAACCGTCTGTCTGAAGACAGATAGTGCGTGTGCGTGGTCAGTCCTGGGGCAGAGGGCTGCAGTCAGCAGGCTCCCGTGGGGAACACAGAGCTTCTCCTGACCGCAGGTGTGTGTGTGTGTGTGTGTGTGTGTAAGTCGCTCAGGCACGTTCGACTCTTCAACCCTGTGGACTGTAGCCTGCCGGCCTCCTCTGTCTGTGGGATTTTCCAGGCAAGAAAACTGGAGTGGGTTGTCATTCCCTTCTCCAACCTGACTGCAAGTAGCAGCCCTGAAAGAGCTGCTCAGATTGCTCCATTCTTGCATTAACTGAGAAAAAAGCACAACCTGCAAGTTGAGAATTATTTTTTAAATTTATTTTTAATTGGGGGAAAGTTGCTTTACAATAGTGTGTTGGTTTCTGTCATACAGCAAAACTCGAATCAGTCATAACTATATAAATGTAAGGCTCTCCCTCTTGAGCCTCCCTCCCCTCTCCTCGAGAGTTATGTTCTATTCGGGGGATTTTCTGAGGACTTCAAGCCTGGGGGGCAGCCTCTGAGATTGCTCTGAGGGACTGCCCTGAAGAGGTAAGGGAGGAGCCAGGATAATAAGCAGATTTTGCAACAAAGACCCGGTAGTCAGAACATCAGAAGATGATGTTGCAGAGCATTCTGTTGCATTTTACTGCCACAGTCATCCTTTGATGTTACAACTGCCTAGTTTTTGTTGGAAAACCTCCTATATATCCTGGCTCCTCCCTATCCAGTCACCTGGGATAAACCCTAATGGAAAAGAACATTTAAAAAGAATGTATATTTACGTATGTATAACCGAGTCACTTCGCTCTATAGCAGAAAGTAGCACAATGTTGTAAATCAACTATCCTTCAATTGTTTTTTAAGTTTTTTAAAAAGATTACCATTAATTAAGGAAAACCAGTCACCTCAAGTTAATCAATTTACTGCTTTTCTATAAGTGGGAAGAGGCAAGAGTCTAGGCTTATGGAAATCATTCCCTGGATGTGCACCTTAACTGTCTAGGGCCAGTATCCCGCTTTCTCCATCCTGGGGCCCCTCAGGGTGCTCATTTGGGGGTGATGGCAGTGACTGATGGCTTGACGGCTGCAGCATCCATTGTTAACTGATAGAGCGGGGACATTTTGCACCCACTCTTGTCATCAGCACCATGGAACCTCCTGACCCTGTGGCAGGTCCAGGAACTGGGTTTGAGGCAGCAGAGGGTGGGGGATAAAGCCCTGCAGGATGATGGTGCCCAACCAGGAGCCAGCAGCCCCCTAGACCCTGGCATCACACTAGTGTGGACAGTTCCTTACATCTCTCCTGCCCTTCCTGTTCCCAACCTCCAAGAGCCCTACTGGGTGGTGCTGAAGTCAGAGCAACTGTCCCCTAGGTCTGACGAAGGTGTCCTCACAGAAGGGAGTCCCAGACTCACCTGCTCCTGATACAAACTCCCCCTCCACCTGTGTGACACACACTCGGTGTCCTCCCCGGCACCAATGGGCAGACTTCAGGTCTGCGATGTTCTTTCGTTAGGAGATAAGGATGCTGGCAGCTGCCATCAGGTCAGACCCAAACCCTTGGCATGAGTTTTCAGAGGCACCTAGCTAGTCATCTTGGTGGAATGGGAAGTTGGCATATATTTCTTGAGCTCTCTCTTTGGAAGATGGGGAGGCCTGTCCTGCTATAGTTAGACCCTGGGCAGCAGGAGCCGACTGAGTTGATGCTAAAAATATCCTGGAAGCTCATTCAATCAGCACTTGGATCCCTGTCAGGTCTAGTGAGTGTGATGGAGCTGAAGCATTCTGTCCTGTCCCTTGGCTGGCTCTTCCCTCTCCCAGCCTTCCTTAAGCAGGGGCTCTCAGTCTAACTAACCAAGACTGCCCTGAGTGTTTATTTTAACCAGATTTCACTTGAGTTGACATTTCTGGAGGCAAAGATTTGCTCTGAGGCTACCCCTTACTCCATCCCTTCACCAGGGCAGTTCAGCCAACACTGCAGCATCGCAGAGCTGGATCTCAGGGCACCCACTCTCTGACTGGCTTGCAAACAGAATTCACACTGGAGTTCTGACTAGGGTTCTATGCAGGGGCCCTAGGGCTTCCGTGAGTGGACAGGCTAGAGGACTCATGCATTTACCTCCTTTGTTTCATTTTGGTTCTTCATGTTTTCTGCTATGAAATGAACACTATCAATTACGTCTTCAACTTCAGGCGAGAGCTCCGAGTTTTCAGCCATCCACTGTAAAGGCTGATGACTTAATCTTCTCTTGCTGGTGGTGGGTTCAGTGGATCTATGACAGTGGCAGCATTCTTTAAGAAGTCTGGGCTCTTTGTGATGATCAAACTTGACTTTGGCAGGCCTACTGGAGACTCCTTTGGGGTTTCTATCAGATCCTGTCTCCTTCTTCTTGTCCAGAGGCCTCTTCATCATCAGGATCTGGGGTAACAGCCGGAGGAAGACCGCCTTCACCCACGTGGGCATGTTGTGAGTGGTCGGGGTGCGATAGTGGATGTTCAGTACAAACACCGTCACCACGATGGACAGGGTGACGAAGATCATGGTGAAGAGCAGGTATTCACCCACCAGGGGGATCACGAGAGATGTGGACGGGATGGTTTCTGTGATCACAAGCAAAAACACAGTCAGAGAAAGCAGCACTGAAATGCAAAGTGTCACTTTTTCACCACAGTCAGAAGGAAGGTAGAAGACCAAGACAGTAAGAAATGAAATAAAGAGACAGGGGATGATCAGATTAATGGTGTAAAACATCGGGAGTCTCCTAATGTAGAAAGAATAGGTGATGTCTGTGTATATCTCTTCACAACAGTTGTACTTTATGTCATGCTTGTAGCCAGAAGCGTCGACAATTTCCCACTCACTGTTCTCCCAAAATTCATTCATGTCCACTTTAGAGCCAATGATTAGAAGGTCAATTTCAGCTTTGTCGTAAGTCCAGGAACCAAATTTCAGGGAACAATTTTGATGGTCAAAAGGGAAAAAAGTGATGTCCATAGGACAGGAACTCTTAAAAATCGCGGGTGGAGTCCAGGTTATCATGCCATCATATTTAAGAAGAGCTTTTGTCTTGCCTTCGACTTGGAAGTCGCCGACCGCACTGCAAAGTAAATCAGACACCATTAGTGACTCCCGCATGCTTTGGGTCCGCCTGCACCAAAGGCAGCTCTGGAAAAAGACTGGCTGTTGGGTACGCATACTTGTTGTAGAGAACGATGTCGGGCTTCCAGATCATCTCGGCAGGAACACGGAGAGTCTCAATGCCGTCATATTCCGTGGGGTCCCAACGCAGCTTATAATCATTCCAGATCTGAAGGAAATAGGAGTCAGTTTTAAAAATTCTTCACTTTCTTCTAATGTTAATTCTATATTGGTTCAACAGTTTTTTGAAAAGGTTTTTATTTGAAGAGTACATGGTTTAATTCGTCATACCGTCTTATTCTTCCTTTTGCTCTTAATCTTTTATGCAGATTTTGTAATAAACCTATCATCATACTATCTTTTAATAACAGAAATGAATTGCTACTAGAGATTGACTATAGTCCTTGGAATGTGGACACGCACAGTGCAGGAGACCCTGGTTCAATTCCTGGGTCGGAAAGATCCCCTGGAGATGGGAAAGGCTACCCACTCTAGTATTCTGGCCTGGAGACTCCCATGGACTGTATAGTGCATGGGGTCGCAAAGAGTCAGACATAACTGAGCGGCTTGCACTTAACTTTGGTTTCTACCAAAAGCTGGGAGATTAAACTCAAGGTGATTTAATTTGAGCTGATTGGGGCAAAAATAGGTTATCCACTAGATATTAGATATGTATCTATTGATTATTAATTAGCTGGTCAAGTTTATAGACTCAGTTTTCACATTCCATAGACTATGTTCAATCTCTAATAGCAATCCATGTCTAATAATAAAAAGATAGTAGGATGATTGGTTTATTACAAAATCTGCATAAAAGATTAAGAGCAAAAGGAAGAATAAGATGGCAAGACTGATTAAACCAAATAGTGGGAATCTAAGCCACAGCAGAACCAAAGAATGGGTAAGCATCTGGCTCTGAAGCTCAAGATATAAGCAAAAATAGGAGACCCGAGAGCAGAAACCTTCAAGGGACAGAGTCAGTGAGAGCTCTGTCACTAGGTTCTGCACCTGAAGCTTGCAGCCAGGCAGCTGTTACCAGATTGAACTTTGGGCTTTGAAGATAGATAATATTTTATACTCTGTCATAAACGGGAGATGGAAAGAGGGAGTGCTAGCGGATTTTATCCACTGGACATTATTAAACTGACATGTCGGTGACAGTTTGCAGAGAAGGGTAAGGGACACAGGCACATACGTGACGTAGCCACAGGTTGGTTTCCATGATCTGGTTCACTTCATCCTGGGAAGAGGAAGCAATGTTTTTTAAGCCTCAGATGTACCAGCTAATAGAAGTGAATCTTAGAGCAAAGATTACAAATACAAAGAGCTGAGCTGAGTTCGAGCTAATGGAGGAAAACAAAGAAGATTGAAAAGGTAACTTATAAAAAATCGACCAAAAATACAATATTTCCACACTGGTGCCCACCTTGTCGACTTCTAAAGGAAATGTGGCTTTACTACTGTCTTTCAAATCTGATTGAAGCTTCACTTTTTCTGTAAAGGCTTTCTGACCTCTGCAACCCACAAGGCCTTCTGATCTCATGAAAGGAAAGAAGGGAGAGAATGGAGAGTGGGAGGAGGGAGTGGACGCCCAGCAGATGGTGGAGGGCATCGTTGTTTTTGCCATCTTCTTCCCCAGCTGCGCCCCAGCACCCTCTAGGCTCTCAGTCCTGAGCCCAGCCACCCCTCAAGGTGTCAGCTCAGCTCACCATGGAGCCTTGCAGCTGAATCCTGCCACTCCCCGCAACACACCTCTCACTCTTGCCCAAGCCACTGCCGATTGCTTCACTCATTCATTAACAAATATTTATTGAGTACCTACTATGTGCTCTATAAATGCTGGGGTTACAGAAATCACCAGGATTGGAAAATACCCTTACCTATTAGCTTAAAGCTCAATAGTCAGAAAACTAAGATCATGGCATCTGGTCCCATCACTTCATGGCAAATAGATGGGGAAACAGTGGAAACAGTGTCAGACTTTATTTTTTTGGGCTCCAAAATCACTGCAGATAGTGATTGCAGCCATGAAATTAAAAGACACTTACTCTTTGGAAGGCAAGTTATGACCAACCTAGATAGCATATTTAAAAGCAGAGACATTACTTTGCCAACAAATGTTCATCTAGTCAAGGCTATGGTTTTTCCAGTGGTCATGTATGGATGTGAGAGTTGGACTGTGAAGAAAGCTGAGTGCCGAAGAATTGATGCTTTTGAACTGTGGTGTTGGAGAAGACTCTTGAGAGTCCCTTAGACTGCAAGGAGATCCAATCAGTCCATCCTAAAGGTGATCAGTCCTAGGTGTTCATTGGAAAGACTGATGCTGAAGCTGAAACTCCAATACTTTGGCCACTTCATGGGAAGAGTTGACTCATTGGAAAAGACCCTGATGCTGGGAGGGATTGGGGGCAGGAAGAGAAGGGGACAACAGGGGATGAGATGGCTGGATGGCATCACTGACTCGATGGACATGAGTTTGGGTAAACTCTGGGGGTTGGTGATGGACAGGGAGGCCTGGCGTACTGCGATTCATGGGGTCTCAAAGAATTGGACACGACTGAGCGACTGAACTGACTGACTGATGTGTCTAACGGAGAAGGGAGTGGCAACCCATTCCAATATTCTTGCCTGGGAAATTCCAAGGACAGGGGAGCCTAGTGGGCTATAGTCCATGCAGAGTTGGACATGATTGAGCAACTAACACACACGTGTGTATCTAAGCTATTAGCTGGGAAGACAGAAAATAAAAAATAGATATATGATACAATGATAGATATATGATACAATGTAAGATGCTCCCCTGGTGGCTCAGATAGTCAAGAATCTGCCTGCAATGCAAGAGACCCATCGATCCCTGAGTTGGAAAGATCCCCTGGATAAGGGAATGGCAACCCACTCAGTATTCTTGTCTGGAGAATCCCCATGGACAGAGGAGCCTGATGGGTTACAGTCCATGGGGTCACAAACAGTTGGACACAACTGAGCAACTAACACACAGACACATAATGTAAGATAGTGATAAGTCCTACAGGAAAAAATAGGGATTGAGTGGTGTGTGTGTGTGTGTGTGTGTGCGCGCACGTGCATACACATTTCTTTTAGACAGTGAAGCAGGAAGGCTTCTCTGAGGAGATGGTTTAAGTACCTAAACGACCTGCAGAGGGTCACGGATCTCTCTGGGATAAACGCATTCCAGGCTGACATCCCAAATATGATGTGTTCCTAGGTAGCTACCACCTCCCAGTGGAGCAGATACTGAAGACACGTCCAGACCTTCAGCGACCTCCCAGCGCAACAGTAGGAGGCTGTTGATGGCCACTAGTGCCCGCAGCGGGTTCCCAGCGCGCACCAATTTTCTCCCCCAGACACACGAGCGCCTTCCAGAGAGAAGCGCTCGCAGCTGAGGGAGCGGCAGCAAGGCTGGACACCAGCCCACTGTGGCTCTCTGAGCTGCTCTGCCCTTCTCCACGCCCCCCCAGAAAACGCTACCTGGAGACCTCATCAGCTTCCTCCTTCAAAGAGGTTTGTGTCAAGTCACGGTAAGCCCAGGGTTTCAAACGAGTTTCCTTGACGGCTTTCTGTTGGCCAGAGCAGGCAAAGAGATGGACTGTACTTGTCCATGACTTTACAATTACCCCAGTCTAAGGACAGTGCCCTCTGCTCATAGGAGGGTCACCTTGTGACCTGCAGATTGCAGCAAGGGCCTTGTCAATAAATCCATTGGCTGTCAGTCAGGAGCGGACTAGCTCTGCAGTCCAGAAAGGTCTCAGAGGTAAGTTATAAACATCTTCCAAAGACTGCTTCCTCTCTGTCCGCTAATATGCTGCTCAGAGAACCAGAACACACTGTGAACTAGAACGCTGTATTCAGAGAATTACAATCAGCTGGCAATATCATCCGGTATCCCTTCTCCCCATCTGTCCTCACACAGCCTGGTGGAGCTCCAGGTGGCGTGGGCCTGTTTCATGGAGGGTAGACATCCCCAGAGGTGTCAGCCAAACTGATGGATCAGGACCTGGTTTGGAAAGTCTCATTCTCCATCCAGTGTCAGACCGCACCAACGGCCATGGGAATTGCTATCAGACAGTGCAGGTGAAAGAGGCCCGAGACCCCCACAGTGCCACCCCACATTCTTGGAACCATCACCCTGTGTCTCTCTCTTGGGAAAATAAATGAGTTGACACCTTGATTGAATTAAAGGATTGGAATTACAATTTCAAGTGGACTCAATTCTGGAGCAGCAGCAACAGATTCAGAGGCTGAGATCAGAAAGTCAGGTGGGCTACATTTTGAAAACCTCTGGTTTGTCATTTCAGGTATGCCAGGCCACCAAAAACAGGGCAGCGGCTCTGTCCTGGCTCCATGAGGAGGGCAGGAGACACACTCTTGCTCTGAAGGTCCTTCAGTCAGCAAACTTTGCCACCAAGGCCATTCTATGCAGCAGCAAACACCCTTCTGTGCAGAGCCCTCTGGTGCTCTAAGGCCAAGCGTGGGGCTCAAACAGCAGCGGATGGCCTAGAATCTTCTAGAAGGGAGTCAGTAATTGCATGCCTGGGCATTATTGCATCACAGTCACCCCCAGGCCTCACCATGACTCAGCAGCAACCAAGAATACGGCCCATGGGGACTTCTGGGGCTCCGCATGAGAACAGGTCGCCTCCAAAACACTAATTAGGACTGTGGTAGTAACGTCGGACAACGTAGACTCAGAGGAAAAAAAAGTTCTAAAGATAAAGAGGGATATTAAGTAATGACGGAAGATTTAATCCTACAGGAAGACCTAATGATCCTAACTGTATGCACCAAAAACAGAAGCTGTGTGTGAAACAGAAGCTGATAGAGCTGGGAGAAGAAACAGATAAATCCCCAGTTACAGTTAGAGATTCACAGCAACCAATAGAATTACTTGACAGAAATCAACAAAAATAGGGACACTCTGAACAACAAGATCTAATCGATGCATACAGACACGCCACTCAAAAACAGCAGAATGCACCCTTTTTCAAGCATGAATGGAATATTAACCAGGATAGATCATATCCTTATCATGAGCCATCAAACAAACCTCAAAACTTTTAAAAAGTTGGAATCACAGTCTGCTTCTCACCATAATGGAATCAAACTAGAAATCAATAACAAGAAGACAGCAGGAAAGTCTCTAAATCCATGGAAATTAAATTTCTAAATAATCCATGAGTCAAAGAGAAGGTCTCAAAGGGAAGCTTTTAAAATACATAGAACTGAGTGGGAACAAAACCATAATACATCAAAATATAAGGGACACAGACAAAAACAGTTTTGAGAATAAAATTTGCAGCTAAATGCTTACATTAGAAATGAGAAAGTGGGAAGTTGGGGTTAGCAGAGGTAATTTATTAAATATATATAATATATTTATAGTAATATATATATAATATATAAATATATATAATATATATAAAGATATATAATTATATGAATAAACAATAGGTTCTACTGTATAGCACAATATCCTATGATAAACCATAGTGGAAAAGAGTATTTTTTTAAATGTGCATATATTATATATATCTAGCTGAATCACTTCGCTGTACAACAGAAATTAATACAACATTGTTAACATTTGTTAAAGGAATGAGTGGGAGCTTCCCTGGTGGCTCAGGGGTAAAGAATCCACTCGCCAGTGCAGGAGACACGGGTTCGATCCCTGATCAGGGAAGATCCCACAAGCTGTGGAGCGACTAAGCCCATGAGCTGCAACTACCTAGCATGTGCTCCAGAGCCCGTGAGCCACAGCTGCTGAAGCCGACTCTCCCTAGAGCCCTGCTCTGCAGAAGAGAAACCACCCCTGTGAGAAGCCTTCGCACCATAAAGAGGGTAGCCCCTGCTAGCCGCAGCTAGAGAAAAGCTCGAGCAGCAATGAAGCCTAAATAAACACGTTTATTTAGCACAGCCAAAAATGAATAAGTGCATAAAATTAATTTTTAAAAAGTAACCAATGGACTCAATGCTAATTTAAAAAAAATAAAAAGAATGAGTGGTCCCATCTAGGTGGGAGAAAGCATCTGACTCACTTTTTTAAAATCAGTGTTTACCAGCGTACACACACTTCCAGCCTGGGCCAGAAGCCAGAGGAGGGGCCAGGGTCAGCCCCGTCCCCTGGGAAGCGTGCGGTGGAGAAACATGGTGGGTGGGCCCAAGACTTCACATCCTTATCCAAGGGCTTCCCCCCAGGCACGCCTGGAGCCACCACGTTTCTCCCAAGCAAAGCTGAGTGGAAGGAGGGCTCCTCCCTGTATGGAGCGGCCCCCCACCCCCATCCATGTGCCATCTGTCTGTACACCACCGTCTCACAGATGCTCCGCACGCCCCTCAGTCCGGGAGCCTGCCTATTCCTAGAATTTGGCCCATGTCCAGAGCCTTGGGCCAGCCTGCCCCTGCCACGCCTCGGAGTCCAGAACCTGCCCAGTACTGGGGCACCAGGCCCCACATCTCCTCTGCCAGCACCTAGGTGCCAAGATTGTTCAAAACAAAGAACTCTCATCCTCCCTGCCCTTGAACAGAGTACCAATTAATTTAAATGAAGACCTCCAAACACCCATCTGCTTCTCAGGACTCGATGGAACCCTGTATAAAAGAAAGTGAACTTTTTCTTTACTCTATAAAACGGGAGACTTAGAGCAATTCATCTGTAGAGTAAAACAGGCATGAGCTTTGGGGTTAAACAGGCTTGACTGAACTGCAGGGCTGCCATCTGTAATCACGTGTCGTTGGGAACGTGGCTGACCTGAGCTGCTCTTTCCCCAGCTATAAGATGCAAAGGACAGCCACGGAGTGTAGACAGTGGTACATAATAGGTGCACGACAAGTCAACTCCTTTTGTATTCCCCCTTCAACTGCCCTCCTTCGCCTCTTGGCTTCATAAACTGGTTCTGAGAGCATTTCCAGAAATACACTACCTTAACAGAAATAAATATATTACTTTGCCAACAAAGGTCTGTCTAGTCAAAGCTTTGGTTTTTCCAGTAGTCATGTATGGATGTGAGAGTTGGACCATAAAGAAAGCTGAGTGCTGAAGAATTGATGCTTTTGAACTGTGGTGTTGTGGAAGACTCTTGCGAGTCCCTTAGGCCGCAAGGAGATCCAACCAGTCCATCCTAAAAGAAATCAGTCCCGAATATTCATTGGAAGGACTGATGCTAAAGCTGAAACTCCAATACTCTGGCCACCTATTGCAAAGAACTGACTCATTTGAAAAGACCCTGATGCTGGGAAAGATCGAAGGTAGGAGGAGAAGGGGACGTCAGAGGATGAGATGGTTAGATGGCATCACTGACTCAATGGACATGAGTTTGAGTAAACTCCGGGAGTTGGTGATGGCCAGGGAGGCCTGGTGTGCTGCAGTCCATGGGGTTGCAAAGAGTCGAACGTGACTGAGAAACTGAACTGAACTGAACAGAAATAATGACAGCATCCTCAGGGGAGTGGATCCCTTGCAATAGGCCAGCTTTGAAGGGCCGGTACTTTGTAGATTCTTGTTTGCTTGTTTGTTTTACATTTTTGCTTTCTTTTTTTTTTTTGGCTGAGCCACATGGCTTGTGGGATCTTAGTTTCCCGACCTGAGATCAAACCTGGGCCCTTGGAGTCCATTGGACTGCCAGAGAATTCCTTTAAATCCCTTTATTTACCCCCGTGCAGTGAGTGGGAATTTCTCAAACCCCTCAGAGCTGGAGCCCCTTGAGGCCAAGTGGTACGTGGTGACCCCCTCACACTTACCACATCGGCCAGCTGCGTGATGGCCACTTCAAAATACACGGTGATCGGGTCGGAAACGTTCTCCACGGGCCTGATGAACTGGTTATAATGAGCGAACAGCTTGTGAAAGAGCCTCTCCTCCGCCGCGCAGCCTGCACAGCCTTCGGGTCAAAGAGAGGGCGGCGTCAGAGAAGCAGAGAGCGCGCCCTGCGGGGAGGTTCCAGGGCCTTCCCTCCCCAGGAGGCGGCACCGGCATCGGCATCCCCCAGGACCGCGTCTCCTGGCCCTCTGGGCTGGGCTCCTTGCCTGTGTCATGGAGATGACAAAAGAAGGGCCTGCATCTCAGGACTGGTGAGAGGGTAAAGAAAGCGATGCTGGGAAGAGTGCTTCTAAGTGGGTGGTCAGCTCCGTCACTGAGCAGAACTCACCGTCTGGCTGATCTAGTCATTAAAGTCCTGAACTTCCCTGGTAGTTCAGGGTAACGGTAAGACTTCCTGCCAATGCGGGGGATGTGGGTTCGATCCCTGGTCCGGGAAGAGCCTGCATGCCGCGAGGTATCTAAGCCTGTGCACCACAACGACTGAAGCCTGGGTGCCCTGGAGCCTGAGCTCCACGCCCAGAGAAGCCACTGAGACGCCCACACAGTTAGAGCAAGCCCGCGCACAGCAGTGAGGACCCAGCGCCGCGAAAAATTAATTCATGAATTAAATTTAAAAAAAAAAAAGTCCTGCTCTTTCTTGTCAAAGGACTGATCTGACTGGTCTTTGTTTCTACAACCAGAAGGGTGTATAGCTGGGGAAACTTCATCAAACAAACTCAAAGAGTTATCAAGTTTATAAAGGTCTTAAGCCCTCTTCCTTTTTAAAATCAACTTTCGACTTCAATTATCTTGGAGATCTGTGAGAGTGCAAAGTTTCTAAGGAAATTTTTGCTGAAAATATTTTTTAAAGAACCCCCAAAGTTCTTAAGCAATAGTTCTTTCGGTCACCAAATTTCAGACAATAACGTAATCACATTTCTTTGTATTTTCCCAAGAATGCATTAAATGTAGGTTACTTGCCTTCGTTTGACATAATTCATCTCATTAATGCCCTTTCCATATTTTTCCTCATAAAAGTCATATTTGATACCTGAAATATTAGGCTATATATTTCCCAAAGGGATTTATGCCCTGAAAGAAAAAAAATTTAAGGGGTTGCACAACTTACTAGGCAAAAACAAATGAAATGGTAACTGTCATACTGCTAAATAAAAACTGTTCTTTGCCAAATGCATTTGGAAACATGGAAACATTGAGATTTCAGCAGGAAAGAACAATTTTTTTTTCTTGAACTTTTTATTTTGTCTTGGGGGATAACCGATTAAAAATGTTGCCATAGTCTCAGGTGAACAGTGAAGGGACTCAGCCATCCATATCCCTGTATCCATTCCCCCCTAAACACCTCTCCCTCCCATCCAGGCTGCCACAGAACATTGAGCAGAGCTCCTCGTGCTATACAGTAGGTCCTTGTTGATTATCGATTTTAAATATAACTGTGAGTACATGTCCATCTCAAACTCCCTAACTATCCCTTCCTCCAGGCAACCATAAGCTTGTTCTGTAAGACAGGAAAGAACAATTTTAGACATAAACCATCCTTGTCTGCCAACTTTATTAATAATAATAGAGATATTTCTCCATGAAACAGGTAATACAAAAATCCTCCCATTCCCTATTTTCCTCCTTTAAGATTTTGCTTTTCTTTTGAGACATTTCAGATGAACCCTCCATGAGTCTTGACAAGCAAATCCCTGCAAGCCCACCGCACGTGAAGGTGTGGCTTTGCAGACACGGACAGAGAGGCGGCTGTCTATTTCTAAGACCTAACTTTGAAAATGAATGACCTTCTTCTTGAGACATACCTCAGGACAGGAATATAACGTATTTCCCCAAACAAAGACAATTACCTACAAAATGGAGGGCTTCATAGTATCAGCTAATAAACCACAGTTCTGAAAAAACATATAAATACAGATAAAGAAATTGAATATATCCATAGCAAAGATAGACAGGAAAATGTACCATTATTACTGTTGCATATTTTCACTGGGAAAATAAACCATGGTTTACAATGTTTTCTTGTCCTCCCCATCCCATCCCCCCCAATCTCATTTTACATGTTAAGTCAGCCAATTAAAAATGAATAGGTTAATTAACAGCTATATGGGGAGTCACTCCTGTACAAACACTCTCCGTATTTATCCATAGAGTATCCCATCTCTGCTCAGTGGCACACAAATAGAAGTGTATATACACGAAGCTGAAAAGGGAAGACCAAAAAAAAAAGCAGAAATAAAACCTACCTTTAAAGCATAGTGCAAATACACACCACCAGACACACAGTGCAAAGCCAAGGGCTCCCTGACCCCCGTGGGGCAGCATGATTAAAACACTCTGATTTTCTTGTCCCAGTCAAAGGATTATGGAAAACAAAGAGCTATCAGCCAGCCACTCACACTGGACTTTAAATCACCAGAGTCCACTGCAGTCCAAGTGTCTTCCGTGAAATGAAAACCTTCACAAATATAACACGGTCGCTCCCAATATCAGAGGCTGAAGCCAACCGGAAGGGCAAGCCCAAAGGACTCAATCTGATATCAGATGAGGCATCTCATCTTCTGACACCCCAGCTCGCTTCTCGTGCGGGAGCGAAGAGGAGGAAAAGCGGGAGGGGCGGCTGGGCAGACAGCCCCGAGGAGGGATGGCAAACTCTGTCGTGGTTAGTGCGTCTTTCCCAAGCATCTTTTCCCAGCCACAGTCCCGAAGGCAGCGAACACACCTTTCCTGAGCTGCAGCTCTAGGTAAAGTGCCTGCCAGGTCCCAATGTGTGTATTCTGACTCACTGAGTTCTCTAGCTCATCGGGGCTTAACCTTGTTACCAGAAAGCATTCTAAAATAGGAGTCCCTGTTAGGTGTGGCTCTGGGAGAACAGAATTAATTTGGTTTTGTCTGACTTCTAGTGCCTGGTCCTTCTGTGCTCGTCCTACAGAGACTAGAGATCAGCCTCCTGAGAACGAGAAGAATGAATACTGAACACAGGATGCCAACTGGACTGTTCTATGTTTATTTAGACAACCTTGTCACCAGTTCATTTTCTTATCATTCGCTTCTTTCCTCTGTAAGTTGTGTCAGTAACATTCTGATGAATTATGCTTTCTGGCCAGATTTTGGTGTTGGTTAAGGGTGAGTTAGCAGCAAAAAGAGAAGACAACCTACAGAATGGGGGAATTTATTGGCAGATCAAATAAGGGGTTCGTATCTAAAATATGTAAGGAACTCATAAAACTCAAGAGCAAATGAATAAGTCCCAGTTGAGAAATGGTCAGAGAACCTGAATAGACAATTTTCCAAAGAAGAAACAGATGTGATGGGTATATGAAAAGGGGCTCAACCTTACTTGATCATCAGGAAATGTGAATCTAACCACAAAGAGGTATCTCCACCTATCTAGCAGGATGGTGCTTTAAGAAGACAAGAGATACCCAGTGTTAGTGGAGAAAAGGGAATCCCCGTACAGTGTTTGGAATGTAAACTGGTGCAGCCACTCTGGAAAACAGTAGAAAGATTCCTCAAAAAATTAAAACTAAGACTACCATACGATCTAGCAATCTCACCTCTGGGAATATATCCAAAGGAAATGAAAGCAATTTCTCTGAGCAGTATCTGAACTCCCATGATCGTTGCAGCATTATTATTCACAAGATATGGAAACAGCCTGGTGTCCCGTGATGGATGAATGAACGAAGAAGTTGTGATATACATTTATGTGTGTGTATAACAGAATATTATTCAGCCATGCGAAAGAAGGAAATTCTGCCATTTGCGACAACAAGGATGAACATGGAGACATTAAGCTCAGTGAAATAAGCCAGAGGCAGACATATACTGTATGATTTCATGTGCATGTGGGATCTAAAAAATTCCAGACTCATAGAAGCAGAGCATAGGACGGCATGTTGGTAGGAAGTGGGATGGGGTGATGACACGCTGTTGGTCGAAGGGCAGAACCTTTCAGTCATAGGTGGATAAGTGCTGGTGATCTGATGTATATCACGGTGACTACAGTGACCATATCTTTGAAATTTGCCAAGAAAATAGATCTCAAGTGTTCTAACCCCCTCAACACAAATGCATCGTGATGATGTGAGTGATGCGTTAGCCTAATCGTGGTGCTCATTTCACAATATAATATATGTCAAGGCGTCACTTTGTACACTGTAAGTATACACACTTTCTATTGGTCAATTACACCTCACTAAAGCTGAGGGAAAAGAAAAGGAGTGAGACCCAAAGATGATGCCCCAGGGTCCTCCCATCCAAGCATTCCATGACATCGTCACGGAAACTACACTTGGCAACTGTGCAGGCTTTAGACTAACAGTTTCCCTCACAATTACACTGGCCTTGTATCTCCTTCAAGAACGATCACTTATTTAGCACCAGACTTAGACCAGGCGCTGGGCTGGTTGCCTTGGATGTGTCACCTTAAGATGTTAGTCGGTCTCCTTGAAGCACAGAGGCTTTTGCCTTTTGCCAAAATGTCATGAGGAGTTTGCAGAAAAAGTATCTGGACAACACTTTACTGTGATGGATGAAAAGCCATCACATACCCTGAAATGGGGCTGTGCCTCTCTAGCTTTTAGGGTAAAACCCAAACCAGGTTGGCCAATTTCAAGGCACCAACAACACTGTCTAGTGTTTCTATTGCTCAGGCTTTGATGGGTTTGTTCTTCATACTTTCTAACAGACAGACACTGCAGTCTCGCGGGAAAACTGCTATCTCACGTCCTTTGCTTTGTCCAGCCATCCTTCTATGTAGCCATCCCCTGTCAGCTTAAAGAGCCCCTCTAGAGGAAGGATTCTGATGGGATTCATCCATCATCGGTCTTTCTTTCTCCCAGGAGCGTGCAGACATCTGTCCCCGGTGCTAAGGTCCAGAGTGGGGGATAGGGGGACTTTGTGGGTGGGAGGGGGTCACAGAGGGACCTCACCAGAGGTGAAGGAGGCAGAGGAAAGAACATGGACTTTAGAGTCAGACAGATTTGGATTCTGGCCCCAATACTTGGCATCCCCTGAGACCTGCCATCATCAGAAAGATGTGATTAAATTTGGTAACATAAATCCTTTAATCTCTCTCTACCCAATTTTTCATGGAATTTTTACTCAATCTCTTACCAGTACAAATAAGTAAGATGATTAAGTGAATCTAAAGCCTGAACATATTGTAAGTATATTTTTTAAAATATTTCTTAAAATGTTTAAAATATTTTAAAATATATTTTAAATATTTTCAGGAAGAGTATATTTTAAAAGCTTGTAAAGTAAATGCATTCTGCCATTCAAAGAAAATGTTTAAACTACCCCCTCATTATCAGAAAAATGCTTGAACTTTGTCACTGAATTATGGACTTCATGCCATTTTTTAAAATTGCATAGAAAAATTAAATAAATAAAATCGCAGAAGAAGAGGTTAAGAACAAGCATACCAGGGAAAACAAGCATACTTTCAAAATAAATTTTTTTTGATGGGGAATACATGTAAATCCATGGCTGATTCATGTCAATGTCTGACAAAAACCATTACAATATTGTAAAGTAACTAGCCTCCAACTAATTAAAAATAAATGGAAAAAAAGTTTTTTTAATTCAAGAAATAAAAGTTTAAAGACAATGTGTCTTTTCCTGATGTTGCTGTACCGTTTCAGCTTCACATTCTGTGATTAGCTTTTGCTTCGCCTTGTTGAACCAGTTGAAAGTTTCACGTTACTGATCATGGTTTATGCAGGTGGAAAGGCTGCCTGGAGGTGAGAGGTTAATTAACATGGGAAGAGCTGGGGCATTTCTCCTTCCCCCACTTAACCTGCACCCCCATCACCTCCTCCTTCCTCTCGGCAAGTTCCAAAGGGAAAAAGGAAGAAGTAGTGGATCTTAACTTTCTTCAAGACCATGAATGTCTGATAAAGACTATGGATTCTGTGCCCCCCACCCATGTGTATCAAACACCATGTGTCATATAATTCCCAGGGGTCCCAGACCTATGGAGGGCAGCCCTGGGTAGAGGCAACTGCAGGTGGTTCCATCATCTTCCCAGGATCTGTCCCCAGTCACTCCACATCCTCCCTTTTTCTTTTTTGGGGTTGTTGTTGTTATCTAGTGACATGTTATTTAACTGGCCAGGCTCCTCTGTCCATGGGATTCTCCAGGCAAGAATACTGGAGTGGGTTGCCATTTCCTCCTCCAGGGGATCTTCCTGACCCAGGGATTGAACCCTGGTCTCCTGCATTGCAGGCAGATTCTTTACCGACTGAGCTACCAGGGAAGCCCTTAGTGACATTTAGAATTATTCTAAATGTCTGTTAATATTTATTAATTTTATTTATAAATAAATTTATTTATAAATAAAATACTTACTAATATTCTCCTTATAGCATGTGTGCCACTATATTGAGCACCATTGTTAATATCATTGCAGGTCTTGGTTGGGGAAAAATAGTTTTAAGGGCTCAAAAAAAAATGGCAGTTTATCTGAACAATATACAGGACACCACAAGCCATGCAACATTTACACATCCTCTTTTTTCAGAATAACCTCTTCTAAACAGCTACTGTGTCAGGAAATCAGGACTTCCCTGGTGGTCCAGCAGTTAAGACATTAACCTTCCATGGCAGGGGGCATGGGTTTAATCTGTGGTCATTGGGATTTTCCACATGGTGCAGCAAAAAAAAAAAAAGGTTAGCACCTTAAAAAGCTAATGTGTCAGGAAATTGATAGGCTTCAGAGACTAATTGTTGGCTTCCTTTTTGGATTTTATCCATAGACGCAAACTTCAATTTGGAGGTTTTCTTCAGGGGGAAAAAAGTGATACTGGTTAAGATGAAACTTTTTTTATTAATATATTTTAAGCTTTTCCCTCCCTAGCTGCTAAATTAAAGCTATTGCTTCATTTTGCTCTACAAAAAAAGACTACTTGATACCATTCTGTAAAATTGGTTATGTTCTTATTTGAAGTTTCAGGGATTTGGGGCATAGAAATTGCATGAATGAACATTTCATTGACCTTTTTGTCACTGTCAGTTCTCTTTAAACTCAAATGAGAAGACTCTTCAGTTGTCCCTAAAGAAATGTAAAGGAAATAAACCTTTAGACATGTATTATTTATAAATCCACTGCAGCAAAACATCTTCAATAATTTAATGATCCCATATGCTTGGCTTTGCTTTTTTTTTAAACTGTCATTAAACACTCACGTGTTCAATATCCCTAGTCAGTAGCATTTCAAATCCACCCCACTTGACATTTCCCAGACAAGAAAAATAAAGTAGCAAGAAGGGTAGTATTCAAATTAAATGGTCATTTTAGACCACAGAGAAACTTTAAATAA